CCCCCCCCTCTTTTATCCATTCCAGCTGTTTCGCATTCCTTGCTAACATAAAGCAAGCCAGCCTGAACAGAACCATCTTTAAAATTGAAAATAATAATATATAAAAAATAAGAAAGAACAGAACGGTCTTTTTGATATGAGCAGCTTTCAGAGGTGGGTGATCTCCCAACACGTCAGAACGTGGATTTATATTCTTCTCTTATCTATCTCATTTGTCTTGCTAGTACTCATCTATCTCAACCTCTCACTAGTGTATGTGTAGTACGGGGGAAATTTCAAAAAAAAAAAAAAAAAAAAAAGTGGATTTATTGGGTAAATGGATCCAGAAGGTTGGAATGCAAACAGAAGGGAAGTGGGTGATCTCCCAACAAATGCTACTCATTGAGTGTGTGCCATGTCTCTTATTCTCCTTCGCCAATGGGCCTACCATCTTCCCCCAACATAATGCACCCTAAAAACGAATGTATACGAGTTATATTTCTGGCCAGATACAGCCAAAATGAGGGTGCGTTGTGTTCGGGGGAAGACGGTAGCTCAGTTGGTACACCCACAAACTGTTGAAATATGACTCAGACCCACGTTCGAATCCAGATACATCAGATGACCAGAATAAAATCATTCTGAATTACCAGGGGCAGGTCAGTTCAATGATGATATCTCTTTCTTCTTCTTCTTTGTCAGGGGAGGACATGACAGGGATAGAATCAAGGAGACCCTCTTCGGGGCACTGCTGCCTTGTTTTGTCCTCCTTTTTTTTTTTTTTTTTTTTTTGAAAAGAAAACAATGAGGAACCGGGCCCGGCATCCCTTATATTTCAGCACCAGGAATCGGGCTTGGCATCCCTGACAAAAAAAATTCCGCCGTCCTGATTTAGGGCAAGACACCACCGGTCAAGCCGAAAAACTGGACCGCTACAAACCACAAACCCTATCCACAAAAATACCACCGAAGAAAGCAAATCAACCAATGTCTCTCTCTCTCTCTCTCTCTCTCTCTCTCTCTCTCTCTCTCTCTCTCTCTCTATGTATCTATCTATATATATACATTATGTATTATATGTATTATATTTCTCTATCTAACTGTCTATCTATGTATCTATTGCTCTGTCAATTTCATTTCCTTTTTCTGTTTTTTTTGCCTCTTCCCTGTGTCTTTTCTCGTTCTCTTTCTCTTTTTCCCATTCCCGTTGTTTTGCACCCAGCACCCTCTAGTATCCGGTATGTGCAGCTTTTAGCCACTAGATCAAGGGGGGTGACATGTAGGGCCTCACCGCATCACTTACCAAATGCAAAAAAAACAAAAATCATCGCCACGTATCTTTCCATGTTCCACCCAAGGATTCATTGCCATCTTAAACATTTGGTGAGTGGTGCCAGCGCACACCAGATTTGGGAGATCCGTTTGTGAAGATGTCGGGCGAGTGGCATAGGTCGAAGGAGGGGGGGGAGGGGGGGGGGGGGCACTTTTGACCCCTCAGAGCATACTCACACTACCGTCTTTGTGCAAATAGAACGCCTTGTCATTATAGATGTATTTGGTCCACGGGCCTTCTATTCGGGTGAAGACGGTAGCACTTTTCAAAATGAATCTGACTGGAAGTAATCACGGCTCTATCCTAGTAGAAAAGCTCCTCCCGTGAGTATGGCCACAAGCTGGATCTAGCTGTGGCCGATAAGAACTAAGGGCCTCGTTCGACACCACTTGAAAAGACTTGAGTTTCAAGGGCGCCCTTGGGCGGGGAAGGTGATTAATTTCCCCTAACTCGTTTTTTCGTTCCACTACCCCTTGGGAAAACACTTGGAAATCGTGCACTTCCGTGTGAAGTGCTGACGTCGCGCCTTTCGGACCCCTCGGCCGCGGCTGGGAATGTCCGGCCAGCAGCAGTGCTGGACGTAATGTTGTCCGGCCGTTTTGGGCCCATGGGACAACTCGGGTTTGGATTTGAGGTCGACGGTGCAGGCCTTCCAGGACGCCCGCCCGAATGCCTCTCCGACTCCGGTCCATTTCAAATTCAAAAACCGGTCTCGTGTTCACCGGTCTCGTGCTCAGCGGCCGCCGCCATCGCGAAGCAGGGAAACGAACATGATGTCCAAGCCGTCGTGGAGTGAGCGAAGCCAGGACAGCCATCGTTGTGAGCGAGGACAACCGCAACACGTGGCACACGGGAGCGGAGACACGTAAGTCGGTGTTCATCAACAATGGACCATACGGGGGCGGAGGGACGGGAGGGAGGGGAACTGACAGTCCAGGAGAAGAGTTTGTTGGTGGCATCATTGGTCGCTGTGTGCCGCCATCTCCAGACGGTGAACAGTGCGCGGCAGGGTTATGCCAGACAGAAGGCGAGTAGGGAGGCAGCCATCGGGCAGGCCCTGTTGGACGTGCATTCCTCACCGGGTGTTTGGGACGCGCCATTCCTCCTCAGCAATGCCATCACCGCAGGGGTGCTGCCGAGAGAGACTCCACGATGGTGGGTAAAGCGCAGGACAGGTGGCACATGGAACGACCTCGTCATCTCAGACGATGCGACAGCGGACTATTATCATGACAAGCTGCGCATGTCGAGGACCGTCTTCAATGACATCGTTGCCGCCTGCGCTCCTTTCCTTCAACATCAGCTAACCCACTACCGCGAGCCGCTCCAGCCGGACCACATAATCGCGTACGCGCTGTATAGGCGGGCAACAGGTGAGACTTACGAGAGCAGCACGTCGGCGTTCAGCATTGGAAGGGCGACGGGCATGAACACCGTGAGGGACGTGACCAACGCCATCTTGGCAGCCTACCCGGACAAGATCGCCATGCCGACAGGCAGACGTCTTCTCCAAATTCTGCGCGTTTTCGCGGGAAAGGGCTTCCCCAATTGCATGGGTGCAATCGATTGCACCCACATTTATGTCGATAAACCTGCAAATGCGCCATCCAAGAACTACTTTGATCACAAACAGCAATTCTCCGTGGTGGCGCAGGTTGTTGTCGACTTGGATATGCGCGTGTTGGACGTGTTCGCCGGTTACCCCGGTAGCGTCCACGATGCGCGCGTTCTGCGGAACTCATCTCTCTTCAAACGCACCGAAGCAGGGGACATTTTCAACGATGACGTGGTCTCCCTGCCAGGTGGCGTCACAACTACAGGCTACCTGCTCGGGGACAACGGTTACGCTCCGCGTACGTGGATTGTAGTTCCTTATGGGGGATTCAACCAGACCGGGGACGTCGCCCTATTCGACACAAGGCAGAAGACGACGAGAGGGGTGGTGGAGAGGGCGTTTGGAAGGCTGAAGGGTATGTGGAGATTATTCCTTCGTCACCACAAGACGAATATGGAATACCTCCCTCAACAGTTTATGGCCGTGTGCATTGTGCACAATCTTCTCCTCGAGGCTGGCATTGACATGGACGAGGGGTTGTTGATGGAACCCGATTCGAACGGGAATCCGGTTCCGATTGACCTTGGTCTGCAGGACCTGATCCATCCAGTGTCCCAGGCCGACGTCACGGAGGCCGCTCTCGCTCTCCGTGACGCACGCCGCCTTCGCATGGAGCAGTGAGCACGTCCTTCGTGTTTGGCAGCTTGCATTTCATGGCGGATGCACTTTGATGTATGACGATCGAAACACGGTCAGGGTTTTGTAGGTTGTGCCGCCCGCCAGTCAATCCTTCGCCATTTGGCGAAGGAATCAATGCTGGCGGGGTATTAAGAATGTTTGTCTTCTTCTTCCTATGTTCAACACACTTTTGCTGAGGATTCGTTGCACATTCAACAGAATAAGTAATTAGCTGGCGAGGCCGGAGTTTTTCTTGTGTACCATTTTCCGTGCGTAGTTCTTTATTCGCGAAACGTGTGATTCTGTTGCTTTTTTTATGACTTGCGTTTCCATTTCATGTGACGTTTTTCAATGTGGATGCAATCAACCCCTGATCTCTCTCTCTCTCTCTCTCTCTCTCTCTCTCTCTCTCTCTCTCTCTCTCTCTCTCTCTCTCT